ATTTTCAGTCGAGCTCGTATTAAATATAAAATAGTAAACTATTTTAAGTAACTTCATTATAAAACTTCAGGTACATGTGTCTCTTAAATATCTCTTACGTTTAAGAATTTTTTTTAACAGTGTAGATTGTTTCACCAAAAATAGTTTTATGATTTTACAGATGGAGATGCTGATAACGGCGATTTTTTGTATGCATCGGATTTAGTCAAATACATTCGTAAACATTTTGATCAGAAATTCAGCATATGTGTTGCTGGATATCCTGAAATGCATCCCAAGTCACTGTCAAAGGAAATCGAACTTCATCAATTGAAGGCCAAGGTTTTCTTTATTTTAAAATATTTTTAAGGCATCCTAAACTAACTAATGTATAACTTTCACTATTCGAGATTTTAATAATGCGATGTTAAAACTCAAGTAATTTAGTGTTAACAAGTTGGTTTTACTATTTTATGCTCATTTCTATTCGTTGCTTCCTTTACTTTTCTAACAAATTTTATCAGTTATTATTTTTTCGTGAAAATTGAATCAAAAAACCTAGTTTTATTCCCTTATTAAATCACGGCTACAAATCATTTTTATGAAATAAAAACTGGGCTTCATTTAACGCTCATCATTAATTATTCACTAATTTAATTTTCGCATAGGTTCTCAGCAATAAGTTTCGTGCCAAATTCACATGTAATCCTGGGTTATTTTAACATAACGCGCATACTATTATGGGAATTCAATTTAGTTTTTCTTATGGATTTTAACCTGTTCAAAACGATTTTTTAAAGTAACTTGCCGTGCAATTTACACATTACTTTTTATCTAAAAATTAATAACAATTTACAAATTATAAACTTCTGCATTAGTATAAACAAGTAGTTTCGTACGTTTTAAGATTACTTTTAGCAGTAAATATTTTATTACATAAAATAAAAGTATATAGCTGTATATATACCTAAACCAAAAAAAGCCTGTCTGGCACTGGGGCCAGTTTACATTTTATATACAGGTATAAAAACACCATAAACATACAGGCGTTTTTTAGTTGTATCACTTGTATCCCGATTCTGTGAAATGGCACTTTTAGCAGACTTTGAACTGTAACCAAATAAGTAACGTCTCGTCAAAACTTCAAGAGAATCTGATAGACATCAATTTATTGAGGAACTCTCTTAAATGTATACTTTTGGGCATAGACTATCAAGTTTTGGGTACCGATTCAAAAACCTGCTTTATTAACTGTAGTTATTTACAAAAATTAGTCAACAAGTTTTATGTATTTTTTTTAACTGATCAAGTTTAAAAAATTTTCTTTTGTCTTTTTCAAAAAATATATTAACCATACTCAGTTTCATAACAAATTATGACTTTTGATGTGATGTATTGAATGCATGTCCTAACTACTGGCAATAAATTTTTCGATACGTTGTACAGGTAGATGCAGGGGCTGATTTTATTATAACACAAATGGTTTTTGAATCTCGACTATTTATCGACTTTCTGAGAGATTGCCGAGATATAGGAATTGCCGTACCAATTATTCCAGGAATATATCCTTTTACCAGTGTAAAAGCATTAAACAAAATGTCAAAAATTTGTCAAGTAAAAATTCCTCAGTGGTTAGAAGAATCGTTGAAGCCAATATCAGGTGACGTAGAAACTGTTAATAAACTTGGCATAGATTTAAGTGTAAAAATAATAAGAGAGATTTCAGAAAGACAATCTTCATGCTTTTTTCATCTATTTTGTTTAAACAGGTAATATTGTTTTCTAAGTATTACTAGTATAAAAAGTATACTATTACTGAAAAGTTATTTAATAAATTTAATAAGCGAAAAAACTATGGCTTGAAAATTTCCATAAAAATATGTGACCAATAAATGCTAGTATAGTTGAGAAAAAAAGTTTTAAATATGTAAGTAAGACTACTAAGCCGAAATAAAGCATTTTAAACCATGCTAACTATGAATTAGTAAGTCCCTGGATCAACAAAAAAATCGGAAGTAAAAATTAACAGACAAAATACATTATGAATGACTGTCAGTTCTATTGAGTTATTTGAAAAGAGCGTTTCATTGTTATAGAACGGTTTGTAATATTCGTTCGATTCATTCGTTTCTTTGCCATTCTATTCGATTCGAAAATTCATTTGCCACCCTATTAATAAATGAACGAATCTTGAAGCATACTTTGTTATAAATGATATGTATATACACATCCACAAAAATTAACGAAGGGAAACAGAATAATCGGAGCAAAAATGAAACGATAGAAACAAATGATTGGAACACGTCCCACACGGATCGACCTACAATGCAAGCGTACCTTATTCATTCAAGAGCGATCGAGGAAAATAGAGGAACTTTATGATTCGTGGAGATCCGAAATATTTCGGTCATATTTTATATTGGTAAAGAGTTATGTGGTAATTATAGTGGTGCCGTATCGTTTTTTTTATTTACCAGCCGCAATTTTGACCAATGGATAGAAAATAAAAAGTTGTCAACTCAAAGTACCATTTGCGGCAAGATTAGAATGCATCTTGTACCTGAAAATCGACCTCCAAAAATATAGATATTGTATTCTTACCTATAATGTTATCTATAATGCATCTTCTATTATCTTAGATGAGTATTATAGATAAGATCGGGTAGGGAGTCTATTTTTTTGAAGGTCGATTTTTGGGTACAAGATGCATTCTAATCTTGCCGCAAATGGCACCTTCAAACAAAAACTTTTTATTTTTTATCAATTGGTGCAAGTTGCGGCTACTCAATAAAAAAGACCATACAGCACTACTATAATTACCACCTAACTCTTCACCACTATAAAATATGACCGAAATATTTCGGATCTCCACGAATCATAAGGTTCCTCAATTCTGGTGAGAGTGGCGGCTGGTTAAAATTTTGACCACCTTTCCGCCACAGCTCTTGGTCTATCGAGGCTTCTACTAATCGAGAGCTTCGATAAATCGAGACGCAGGCGCGCCACTTTCCCCCCTTCTTCTTTTACCTTTTACCCCTGGCCTAAAAGCAAAATATAAGTACACGAGTGAGATAGAAAATTCACCGGTTGTTGCCTGCTGCTGCTCATCGTAGCTGATCGTAGCATCAGTAGTGTTGGTACAAACAGTTGCGTTACTCGTAAACCGTACACACAAGCTTGTTTAAAAAGATCATCATCCTCTCATGCACCGGGACAACGTCCCAAGTACTGTCTACCTCCTTCCAGAGGTCAGGTGAAGATCATAAAACAGTAAATTAGAACGAGCCCAAGCCACCTGCTGGGCCTCGACGCCGATCCGTCCATCGGCTTGCTCGGCTCGCCACGGCCAGGCAAGGCGTCCGAGCGTCCGTGCCGTGTGATTTTTGAGGCTAAGGTCAGTCATCACGCACGTCGTTGAGCGGGAAAATTCGGGTTGCAGTCGTTGCAGCTGCAATCACCCGTAGCGGCTGCAGGCGAGCAAGTAGACTGTCGTGAGACAAGCGCGGACATAACAACCATCGTCAGGATGTCCAAGGCAGAGGAGAACGGGAGCGACGCCGGGGAGAATTCGAATGACTCGTCGGGGGAGACGTCGTCGTCGCGCGGTGGCGGCGACTTCGAGACGAAGATCGAGACGGACCGGAGCAAGCGCTTTGACTTTCTGCTCAAGCAGACCGAGATATTCTCGCACTTCATGACGAATTCCAACAAGGACAAGACCAGTCCGCTCAAGATAAAACCGGGTAGGCCCAGGAAGACCCCTGCGGCCCTGACCCCCGCGGACAAGTTGCAGGCCGAGGGCGACCACCGGCACAGCAAGACTGAGCAGGAAGAGGACGAGGAGCTGTTGGCCGCGGCGTCGGACGTCGCGGCTCCCGTTACTCGCTTCGAATCCTCGCCAACGTACATTAAGTCGGGCGAGCTCAGGGACTACCAGGTCAGGGGCCTCAACTGGATGATTTCGCTCTATGAGAACGGCATCAACGGCATTCTTGCCGACGAGATGGGTCTTGGTAAGTCAACTTACCTTCCCATCCCAGATGTACTTACCTATTTAGATAAAAGGGAAATTGAATTGCACAATTACCTGCTGTCCAGTTTAAAGGCAATAAACTCGTACAAGTTTTGATTTACTTTGAAGAATATTGAGACCTTATTTTAATCCCTTAACTGTTTTTTTTTTTTTTTTGACAGTACTAAATATAAATTTTTATTGCATTTGTGCTTTTTTTAATGCTTGTGTTATCAAAGACTTCATTAAATTGATTCGTCTTTTGAAATCATTATTTAAGTCAAGCTGTAAAGTTGGAGTTAATTACTTGGAAAATATACTACGTTTTGCATACAAATATTAGGTTTTGAGAGGATTAATCTTTTGTGGTGTTATTTTCTACAGGTAAAACTCTGCAAACGATATCACTTCTGGGTTACATGAAGCATTTTAGAAATATAAACGGACCTCACATTGTTGTTGTTCCAAAAACAACTTTAAAAAATTGGGAAAACGAATTTAAAAAATGGTGTCCTTCTCTCAAAACGGTCACCCTTATTGGCGACTCCGACACCAGAAGTGCTTTTATCCGGGACATTATGTTACCTGGCGAATGGGATGTGTGCATAACGTCGTATGAAATGGTCTTGAGAGAAAAATGGGTTTTTAAAAAGTTCAACTGGCGTTACATGGTGGTTGACGAAGCTCACAGATTGAAAAATGAAAAGTCCAAACTGTCCGAAATTCTGAGAGAGTGCAAAACTGCAAACAGACTTTTGCTCACTGGTACTCCTCTGCAAAATAATCTCCATGAACTGTGGTCTCTACTCAACTTTTTGCTGCCCGATGTCTTCAATAGTTCTGAAGATTTCGACTCATGGTTCAATACCAACAACTTCATGGGAGATAATGCTCTCATCGAGAGATTACATGCAGTCCTTCGACCGTTCTTACTGCGAAGATTGAAATCTGAGGTGGAAAAAGCATTGAAGCCCAAAAAAGAAATCAAGGTTTATGTTGGTTAGTATTAAGTAATTTTTCTTACGATGATAATGCATTGAAAAAAATCAAAAACTATTCAATCAGTTACATCACAATTCAACATTGTCGTTTAGGTTTGAGTAAAATGCAGCGTGAATGGTACACAAAAGTTCTGATGAAAGACATTGACGTCGTCAATGGTGCTGGTAAAATTGAAAAAATGCGGCTGCAGAACATCCTCATGCAGCTTCGTAAGTGTTGTAACCACCCTTATCTCTTTGACGGAGCCGAGCCTGGGCCTCCTTACACCACGGACGAGCACCTCGTCTACAACTGCGGCAAACTTGTCATCCTCGACAAATTGCTACCCAAGCTACAGGAGCAAGAGTCACGTGTACTGATTTTCAGCCAAATGACACGTATGATGGACATTCTAGAAGACTATTGTCACTGGCGAGGCTATCAGTATTGTCGCCTGGACGGCAACACGGCTCATGAGGACCGTCAGAGACAGATCAATGAGTACAATGCAGAAGACAGTACGAAATTCATTTTCATGTTATCCACGCGTGCCGGTGGGTTAGGTATTAATCTCGCCACCGCCGACGTTGTTATCATTTATGATTCGGACTGGAACCCGCAAATGGATCTGCAGGCTATGGATCGTGCGCATCGTATTGGACAGAAAAAACAGGTGAGTTTCAAAGATTGACCATGTAATATTAAGAGTTTGAATAATCTAATAATTGACTTTTTAAAATCTGCAGGTGCGCGTTTTTAGAATGATCACCGAAAACACTGTCGAGGAAAAAATCGTTGAGCGAGCTGAGGTCAAACTGCGACTTGACAAGCTCGTCATCCAACAAGGTCGTCTGATCGATGCCAAACAAAATGCTCTTAATAAAGACGAAATGTTGAACATCATTCGTCATGGTGCGAACGAAGTGTTCGCCTCCAAAGATAGCGCCATAACCGACGAGGATATCGATACGATCTTGCACAAGGGTGAAGTCAAGACGCAAGAGATAAAAGAAAAGCTAGAGAGCATGGGTGAGTCGTCGCTGCGTAACTTCACCGTTGACGCAAACACGGACTCGGTCTATCAGTTCGAGGGTCAGGATTACAGGGAGAAACAAAAGATTTTGGGTATTGGACACTGGATCGAGCCACCGAAGCGTGAGCGTAAAGCTAACTATGCTGTGGATGCATACTTCCGTGAGGCGCTTCGCGTTTCTGAGCCAAAAGCTCCAAAGGCTCCCAGGCCACCCAAGCAACCCATTGTTCAGGACTTTCAGTTCTTCCCGCCGAGGCTGTTTGAGCTTCTGGATCAGGAGATCTACTTTTTCAGACAGACAGTTGGCTATAAAGTACCTAAGAATCCTGAATTAGGTGCGATTTCATGGGACTACTTACTTTTTCTGATGTTTGTGCCTCATATTTTTGTTTATATCTGATTTTTTTTAAATATTATAATAGGTTCAGAAGCTGCTAAAATGCAGAAAGAAGAACAGAAAAAGATTGATGAAGCCCAGCCTCTAGCAGATGAAGAACTGGCTGAAAAGGATAAATTACTTACTCAAGGCTTTACCAACTGGACGAAACGTGATTTCAACCAGTTTATCAAAGCCAACGAAAAGTATGGCAGAGACGATATCGAGAACATTGCCAAGGAAGTTGAAGGTAAGACGCCGGAGGAAGTAATGGAATATTCAGCCGTTTTTTGGGAACGTTGCCACGAGCTCCAAGATATCGATCGTGTTATGGCCCAGATTGAACGTGGCGAGGCTAAGATTCAACGTCGAGCTGGTATTAAAAAAGCTCTAGATGCCAAGATGGCAAGGTATCGTGCACCATTCCATCAGCTAAGAATAGCATACGGCACGAACAAAGGAAAAAACTATACAGAGGAGGAGGATAGATTCTTAGTTTGCATGCTACATAAATTAGGTAAGTCATATACTTTTTTGAATCACATATTTACTACTTGGTTACTTTCGCTATTATTGATTTATGTTTTTCCATGGTGAACATTTAATAAATTTGTCATTGCAATACACAAAATTTAACCTTTAACTCACGAGTAAATGTACATTGGGATTAAATCAATAAAAATTGATACGTGTAAAATCAAATATCAGAAATGTTTTAATTTATTATTCAGGTTTCGACAAAGAGAATGTATATGAAGAACTGAGAGCTACCGTCAGATCAGCCCCACAATTTCGTTTCGACTGGTTCGTCAAATCTCGCACAGCTCTGGAGCTGCAACGTAGGTGTAATACCCTCATCACGCTGATAGAGCGTGAAAATCAGGAACTAGAGGAGCGCGAGAGGCAAGAGCGCAAAAAGAAGGGTGGCGGTGGCAATGCCAGCACGAAACCGTCCTCCAAACGTAAGGTTGAAAATCTGCCTGCTCCTCAGCCTAGAAAAAAGAAGAAGTAAACTGATACAACTAATGGTGTGCTAATATTAATATATCTTGTCGAGTTTATATTTAAGTCGAATGAATGCTTTATAGAATTGCGATTGTATGTGTCTTTTTTAACATGAATGTGGGTACTTGATTCTATTTTTTTTCTAATAAGTACTTGATATTAATGGTTTGTGTTTATTTTAGTTTGTTAACATTGTCATGATTTATTCATTGAAGTAAAAAAACTCAAGTTTTTCTAAATGCGTTACGAAAAATTTTGTAATTATCACTTTGCCGTTAACAATTGAGATTTTTTGTTTAATACCAGTTTTAGTCGCCATGTACTCTATCAAAATATTTTTATCTACCATTTTAAGAAAATTCTGTTCATTATCATCATTTTCCTAATTTATGACAACAGAGAACTTTTGTTAATGATACTTTATGTTAAAAGCTCAAGCAAGCTAATAAAACTGGCCATAGACTGTCTATTAGTTAGTAAATAAAGATTATAAAGACTGTGGAGGTGAACACAAAACATTAATTCCAACGGAAAAATACCTAATTTTGTATTAATATCCTATACTTGAGTGTAAATTTATTACTTTGAATTGTAGTTAAAAGACAATATGATCAAGATACACGTAGGACAATTGCCGACTGAGAATTTTCTAAATGATTGAACACCAAGCTAATTCTACCAATTTTTTCTGGTTTTTTATCACAAGTCATGGTACAATTATTTTATTCACACTTGCACTATGTGCAAAACTAAAAGTTTGCTGAATAAAAAGTATGAAGTAGTAACATGCACCATGCTACTTATATTAATTTTAGATAGGAATAAAATGAAGCCTTATGTAGCTAAAAAAAATTGAGCAATGATAGTGTAATGAAAAAATTTCAATATTTATCACGTTAATTTTTTTTTAAATCAATTATGAAACAGTGTTTATAAAATATTGTGAGGCAAAATAATATTTTATTATAAATCATAAAACAAAGTTAATTAAAATTAACCTGTCAATTTTTTTTACTTGCTACATAAGAGATAAATCATGTTCCACGAATAAGAAGTAAATAAATTATAAGTTAGGTAAGTCGTAAAAATTTGAAAACTGCATTGATTTTATTTCCAACTATTATTACTTTTAGTTTAAAGTGCCGAATGAGTTGTTTCGAAATGATCGATTACAAAAAAACACAATTAGTTTATTATTTTATTAGAACGACACTTGTAAATAACAAACATGAATTTTATTTGTTATTCATAAGAAAAGCGATGCCTGTTAATTAAATTCAGAATTAAAGTCCGTGGTATTCTTTACTATGCATTGAACAAGTCGTTATGAGTTGGTTCATCTATTCAATCACAATTTCCATGAATTGTCAACAAACATGTGTGCTGAAAATTTGTAAAATAAATTAAATTTTAATAAAAAAGCCAAACAACGACATTTATCGTTTTCCTCTGAATTATGAAATGATACACTTAATAAATTAGGTTCACCTGCACTACGTTGTGTTCACAATTACAACAATGCGACAATGAGACCACAGAGACATGTAAGATGGTGGGAGGGATTTTGCAATGATTTTTGAGTCACTTTTGCCTGACTTGCTTTGGCCAGCTCGAAGGAAAAAATAAAGTCTGGCGAACTGGTACCGGGGGGTAGGCAACCCTCATTTCTTGAGTGAGTGTCCCAAGTAAACATTTTAAATATAATACAAGTAAAGTAAAGAGGGGTCCAAGTGATACCCATTGAGACCAAAAATGTACATATATACGCTTGTGAAAACATGTACCTAAATCGATTATCCCCACGCAACTTTACATTCAATTGAGATGAAAGGTTTACAGCTTCATTTTTCATAACTTGTCAGTTTCAAATTCAGGAAAATGTATTAAAGGGTAACAAATTTCCAGCCTTAGGATGGTTAAGCTGTAAAAAATAAAAATCTGTATTTTACTAGTAATTTTTTAATTTGACATTTTAAACCCACACACAGTCGAGACAAACTGTGGATTTAAATAAATACAACATTTTAACACTTAAGTACAGGAATCCAAACAAAAAGTTTCTTAATGTCCCTAGAGGAAAAAAGCAAATATTCAAAAATTAAAAAAGCTTGAAAGCTATTGTTCCAAGACCAGCTTCATCCTTTGAAAATTGAACGAAACTTGAAAAATTTAGATTGTGGAATAAGTTACTCGGTTTGAAAAAAAAAAAAAAATAAATAAAAAAGTGACAGTAACCATACGATTGAGTATTAGTACACCACATGTGTAAATATTTTATGATCTTATGGTTTAATAATCCTGAATTAGGTGCGATTTCATGGGACTACTTTTCATATAAATTTTTTCTTTCAGTTTTTTTTTTAAATTAATTAATTTATGTTATTACTTTGTGTACGTATTAAAAAATGATTCAAAAACATGAAAGTCCAAGACTTTATTAAATATCTCATCTGATTAAGATTAAAAGCATATTAAATAGTTACAATTATATAATATTCAGTAGCCGTTTTTTTAGTACGTATACAAAAAAAGAATATGTTGGACACGAATGGATTTTTCAAGCGACAACAAAATAATGAGCAAATATATGAAAGACTGTTTAAACGAATCATAACTGGAAAAAAAAATGTTATAATGAATTGACAGATTACAATATTTCAGTTGATTAATGTTGGAAAATATTATATTAAGTTAAAGCAGCAAACTTGTTTATCTTGATATCTCAGAACTTGCAAGAAGAAATGAAAAAAAAGAGATTAATTTGGGTTGGAAAAACGCTAAAAATAAAGCAGGACACTGGTTTTTAACAGGAACGTAAAAATAAAAACAAAAAATATGTACGCACCAGCAAGTCATTCACCACGTCCTACTTACCTTACTTACCTGTAGGTACGGATTGGTGAGCTACTACTACGTAGCAAACTATTCAAACCAAATCCGTTTGCGTGGGTGACTGTAGACTTACGTCATGAGCCAGTGTGCACACATCTCTGAACGACTGCTGACAATTTGGTCTATATATACTAACCAGACTCTTTTTTCGCCACGTGCGGGAACGAATCATGCCGCCACGCGGCCGGAGATTCAGTTATACCATCATTTCAGCATTTACAATGCTGGAGTCATGCAGTGTCCATCCGTTGTCGATAACCACGTCAGCGTTGCCAAACGGAACACCTGCCTAGCGGCAAATTTTAACGTTCTAAAACCAATCAACTTTAATTCAAGCTCTTAAGCCCCTTAAACCTTTACCCCAATAGCTTTAACCCCATAACCCTGTACTCTTAATCCCATAAACCAAATGATCCAGGATGTAGAACCGTGAAAACAAAAAATCTATGTAGAAATAATTTCTATAAAATTTTTGAGTCTCGCTAATTAGTTAATTGTTACTCACCTGAAAGTTTGTTAAATATCTTCTGTACGTGTAGTAGATAGAGCTTAATTAGATTTTTTAGCTTGAAAGTTAATTTAAATTATTAAAAAGCTAAAAATTTGTAATTTATAAGAATTTTTCAATTCATCTTATAACATTTTAATTTTGGTGCGGTATGGTGACCGTTACGTTACTAGGAGAAACATGCTGGATTTTAAAAGTCAAGCTTATTACTTAATTGCATGTCAAATTAAAATGTTTAAAAATTAAATTTATAAAAAGCGATACAGTAAAACGATTTGAAATATCGCGTAGTGTATTTTTTACGGTGTATATACGTTCAAAGTTTCGAAAACATCTATGAGAAAAAACTATGTGTGATAAATTTCCTCTCAAACCCCATAATTCTCTATGTAATTCCAACGTAGTAAAATAATGCGTTCAGTTACATCAGTTGATTTTAATAAACTACTCATCACTTTAACTAATTCATTACAATTTTTATTCAAAAAGTACTAACAAATTCGAGTGTCATAAATACTTTTACAACTACCAAAGTTTTATTGTACAATAAGGATAAATAACTTATAAGTCCAGTGAACTATTTCAAAAAAGTGATCTTAAGATATGCAAGTCATTAATATAATATTAGTTTGCCATAATTTTATAGATATATTCTTATTAAAAAAAATCGAATTATGATTTACTTTGTCGTAGGTCATTTTCTAGGGTACAAGCACTTGGAGTAAAAGGCCAGAGGCTTAAAAGCTTAAAAATGAGAAATTTGATTTGTTAATAATTTTTACTAATATTATAACCAAGTTATTTCAATAATTAATACTCTTTTTCAACCTGCAAAGATCATTCAAATGATTTACAAGTTATTTCTTTATTTATTTTTCTTTTTTTTGATAAGTAGCTATTTTATCGTTGATAAGAAAATGTAATTATTAACTATTTAAACTCCACACCCAGGGTTATTTTGTTTAAGTGTTGAAGAGTACAGGGCTATGGGGTTTAATCACTTAGTGAAAGTAAAGAGTTAGGAGCTCAAGAAATTGGGAGTGGAAGATGATACTTGTTGATAATTTTTATTTATAAGCTAAACGAGTTATTTCAATCACTAATTATTTTTTCGCCATAACAATACCATTTTTATGACTTACAAGTTCTTTCCTTTTTTTGCAATAAGTAGCGCTTTTATTTTTAATAAAAATATGACATTATTAGCTAATTGAACCCTACACCCCGGGCCATTTGGTTTAAGGGCTTAAGAGTACAGGGTTATGGGGTTAAAGGTCTTAGGGTAAAGGGTTAGGAGCTCAAGAGATTGGGAGTGGAAAATTATGTTTTTTATTTACAAGCTAACCGTGTCATTTTAGTTATTAACAATTTTGTTGAACCTACAAATACTATTTAACTGATTAACAAATTATTTCCTTATTTTGTGATAAGTAGTGCTTTTATTGTACAGTAAAAAAATAAAATTATTAACTAATTGAACTCCACACCCTGGATCATTTGGTTTAAATGCTGAAGAGTAAAAGTACTTGGGGTAAAGGTTTAAGGGGCTTAAGAGCTTGAATTAAAGTTGATTGGTTTTACAGCGTTGAAATTTGCCGATAGGCGGGTGTCCCGTTTGGCCACGCTGTGCTAATTTTATAACCGTTTGCAATAATGAAGGGGGGAATAACTTCGCATCCGTCGGAGAAAACATTTGGATTCGGTTTTTTTCATTATCTTACGCAAAATTGTCTTCTAGAAACAAATTCGTTTATGTTGACTTGGACATTTTTTTTTCAGGATTTTTGGACTATAAACACAATTCAATAGTTAAAGATGGCTGTTTATATGAAGTATAGATATGGGGGTGGGAAAAATGAGAACAAATTTAAAAATTACAAGGGAAATTCGTAAAAATGGCATTGGAGATAAATCAAAATACTCTGTCGTATATCTAAAAAAGGAAAGCGAATAGGAAAAGTTTGAAAATTGAAACGAGGAGGAGGGCAGGAGATTATTTTATAAAGATAGCAGATATGAATGATAATAGATGGCCTAAAATTTGTTTAAAAGAGGAATTAAAGGGGCTTGAGAATAGAAATGCTTTAAGTTAGGGAAAGCTGGTAGTGGAAACATTTAAAGAAGTTGGAGATGGAGTGGAATTAAAGGGGGTGTTAGATACTCTTGAGAGGTGGAATCTAAGAAGGAAAATATCGAAGGGGTTACAAGTTAAGGAAGATCAGGAGGTACAATTAGATCGGGGTGTGGTTTTTATGAATATATCAAACAAAAACTAGGAACGAAAGATTATTAAGAAAAGAAAGTATGGAGAGAAAACGTAAAAGAGCAATGGATGAGGATTAGATGTGGGAATGTAGCAAAGTGGGCAAAAAGGCATTTCTAGACAGTACTTGTAGGGTGTGTAGGAGAAAAGAGGAAAGTATACAGTATATCATTTCTTGTAAAATAGCCAGGAAAAAAATTAATATCGAATGGATTAGAGTAATAGAAGAAGTAGGATCGACAGGGACAAAGGAAGTTGTTAGACAAACGTTGATCAGACTAATGGAAGGGGATCCAGTTAAGGCAATTTACAAATATATCATGGAATTTGAGAAATTGGCCAGATCAAGCATTGAAGATAATTTTGGGGGGTAAAGATTGTGGATGAAGAGTGAGGGGCGTGAAGGCGTGTAAGAGCTTAGGAGTTGTTAAAGCAAATATGGTAAAATTAGTAAAATTAGTGGACAGTAAGTTAATAGAGAATATATGTACAAGTAGAAATTTTAGATTTAAGAGAAAGAATTGTAATAAGTGGACGGCAGCGTGAGGTAAATATTTGTAAAAAGATGTAAATCTATTATTCATGGAGTAAATAAATACAATAAAATATATCGCCGTTGTGCTGATACCTCCTACATCTTGGGGTGTGGCTTGGGGATGCCTCTGTATCACCTCATTTGTTTAATTGTAATTAATAGTTTTTTTTTTTTTGAGTTGCAATCGGTTCTATTTTCGTAGGTGCCCTGAGTTGAAACCGTTGGCCCCACTAAACAACCGATACCTGAAATGTCCGTCATCCATGCTCCTTGGGTTAGCTCTCTACGTTGGCTGTGCTACCGTCTATTTGTGTTGGACTAAACTTGCCCAAGACAAAGGCTGCTGTCTTCCTGGCTTCTCTTGCGTCTGTCCTTTCTCTAAAATATGCCAAATCATTGGTAGGAATGCTCCCCCATGAATGAAAATCTTTCATATCGCGAGACCGCGTATTAAAATGCCAATCAAGCTCATTAAATATTTCCACAGGTTATTCTTCAGCCTTATCTCTATTTTTAATTCTTTGCGTGTTTGTAAGTCTTGGGCTTGTAAGATTACGTCCTGAAAGTTGTGCCCTTACTTAGTTCTTCCTCCAAGACTTTACCCCGTTTTTTATGAGAACTGTGCACCTATGTATCTATGTATAAGAAATTTTTTATTTTTACTAGTTAATCCATAATATCATGCTTTGAACAATCTTTAATTTTAGCTTTGATAAAATTAGACATATTCATCTAGTCAAAAGTTATGCTTAATTAAGTGCTATTGGGTATTTGTTGGTATTAGTATTTTAATTTCTAGGACTCTCTTCAGCTTTTGCCATATCAGAGACCTTTTTTTGCTTTCAACTTTTTTTGTCCTAACCGCATGATATGCATGATCGACTATTTGTTTTAAAATTCAGATAAGTGGTGTTTCGGCATCCCAGGTACTTAACTTACTCATCCCATTGAAAAAGATAGAGAGAAAAAAAAAATCTCGACAAGTATCGGCGGGATTCGAACCCACGATTCCTCGAGTATCACCGGCTAGGACGCTAGAACGCTAACCACTAAGTCATCGAAGCTCTATTGGATAATTATTAAAATTTAAAGTAAAAACTATGATTTTTTTAAATAATCGTGTTTCCAATTTTTTTATAACTTCTTCATTAAAAATAAAAAGTGGAAGACACTATGTGATCAACTAGGATCATCTTTATAGATTCAAAATTTATTTTACATTAAAAACGAACGATTTATAAGAGTAGTTACACTTTTTGCTCTAACAGAATATGAGGCACTGTCAAACATCATTTATTAAACTCCATGTTTTGGAGCTTCGTACCATATAAGTTACCCACGATATGTACGTCACTCGCCAAAAGATATAGGTATACTCAGCAAAACTTTCAGGGTTTGAAGGATATAATGAGGTGCGTTTGGAAATCACTATTGGTTACAATAGTTTGTTTCAAAAATGTATAGTTAATTTAATACGTTGTGAAAATAATAAAGTACCCGATCCATGAGCAGTAAAAATGTCTTTATAATTATTAAACGAATGATCCAGGTGACGAGCGATGATCGTCGAACGCACCCATCTCATTTTAATGAATTATATAAAAAGTGCAAGATTTTTGATCAAATTCTGCAATATCAATTAATTTTTTTCTACAGTTCTCACTTCTTATATTTATTTTCTTGGCAATAACTTTTTTAAAATATTTTATCAGAAATTCAATTTTTCTAGACTATTACTATTGCATTTTGCTGAAGAGACTGTTAAAACTCGAATTGAAGCCTATACCATTGAAAAAGGCGTGAAAAAAGATGAATATTCAAACTATTGTATCCTTCTTGGTCCCTGAATGTCATCACGTAGTTTTAAAGAATAATACCTTTTTCTTAGGTTAATACAGTTTTAAAATATCTATTCCATACCTTACGACATCACTAGTTATGTTTGATTTAAATTTTTAGGAACAAATTTTTGCCTCCGATGTTACAGATAATTACATAGTCCTTTTGGAGTAACAAAATTCTTCATCGATTTCCGAAGCATTTATTTTGTGATCTTAGCTTTGGATGATAACTAAAAAATCTTCATACACACAAAAACAGTTTGTAGGTGTGTGGTGCTTCATAACTCCATTTTATCTTAATTTCTACGTACGATTTAATCTGACTTTGAAGTTGATATTGTGTCTCATGTCCAGGGCTCCGTAAGAACATTAAGATGACGTTATATAGAACGATACATAATCCTTAAGCTTTAAAAAATTAACAATAATTGGTTCATAAAGTTGATAATTCAGAAAAGAAATTACTCGCTCCAATGATCTAAAAAAAGAATGGTTCTCCTGAAAGTTAAGAGTAACTCCAGAATCTAAGATAAATGAGTTCTTGGCTAACATTTTCGCCGAGAAGCCGTCAGTTCTCACTAATTTAAAACAAAAAACTGCACTTATCCATGCTCGTCTGAAACCCGTGAGGTAGTTATTTTTTATAACTAGTATAATTTTTAACTTCTTGGGAAGTTGACGACTCCATAGTTTTAAAAGTTTGACGTTCATGGCAGCGCCACTTGTCCTGCCTGGGCCAATTGTCCCATGCCAGATTGACCCCTTTTATACGACACTAAACTTATATTTATCATTAACCATACGTATTTTTATTTTTATTTCTAAGATTTTCTCCCACAAAATAATACATCTGTCCAAAAAAGAAGTTAGGTTACATTTCTTTCAAATAATGATTTAAGATGTGAGTGTGAGTGTTAAATGCAAGACCAAACAACGATCCTGCCTTTTAGAAAACATTTTAGAATTTTATATTAACTTCAGTTCTATACATATATTCACTCCAGTTTTATACGTATATCCTATTGATTTACGTTTGTACGTACGTATGTATAATTTATTTTTAATATACTTGTATATTCACCCAAGCAAAAATTTTTTATGTAAAATGTATTATAATACTTGTATAGAATACATTATTTTTTCAGAAACATTTATGCACTTTGAAATTCATGCACCATTGTCATTTTTCTATCTATTCTTTCTAGTCGTTTTTCATATAGATTTTGATTCTATTAATCATTCAGAATAAGCATAAAGTCGTCTTCACAAAATTAATATTTTTATAGTAACAGTTCAAATAAATTATTTAACCTAGCAAAAAAATTTTTCAACGTCACATTTTTCTTTTTTTTTATTCAGTTACCAATCGCCTATTAGCTGGAAAAAACGTAGTACCGAACATGGATCCTGAAGAAGTTTTTAAAAACAAATATTTTAGCAAAAGTAAAGTACTATTAAAATCAGTCGGAGTTTGGCCATACCAAAACACTACATCGAAACTAATAAGACGAATTATTTACATTTTTATCATGGAATCAATGATGACTGCTCAGGTATAAATACTTTTTTTTTTTTTTTTTTAGTTGTATTGCAATTAAAAGGTTTTTAAAGGATATCAAAAATATAGACACAACTTCTAGTATTACGTAGAAAAAATTTCCACACTTTTGCCACTGAAAAGCTTAAAATCACATAACTACACAAAAATTTTCGGAAAAGTGGACCCTTTGTACAAATAGTAATGTAAATCTCTAAAATATCCAGAGAAAGGTGCCCTAAGCGGGTTGGTGACTTAAAGAGGGTAGGCGCTTGTATGTCGGCGTATGAAACGAACGCGAAGGGCAAGGTATGGATATGTCGACGTTACCCGAGTATCTCTAAGTCAAACCCAAGCGATCCGTAACACATGACAGTGGTATGACATAACACGCAATTTAAAAAAAATTAATCACTCAATAAAAAAAATTAGAGGTGTGTATTTTGTGGTCAATCAAAAACGAATACACTCATCATATTGTTGATAATTTTCTATTGATTTGAGCGTATCAAAGTTTAAATTGAGGCAAAAATATTGACGTTTTGTTTTAAAACTTTTTGCGTTGCTTACGTAAAAAAACCTGTGCTCGGGCAAAGCGGGTAGGACATAGCGGGTTGCTTAGCAGGTATCCGATTTTCCCTGATATATCATTTGTTACTTATTTTTTCGAATTATTTTTAGATGGCGAGTGAATGTGAGTGGGAAACAGCGATTTATGTAACAGATAAGACATTATTTTCAATATTTTCAAGTATTGTTTACTATTTTCAAGTTTTTCACTTACCGACTCAATAGTCATTTAGATCTAAATTAGCTACATTTTTATAAACAAGTCTCTAAGCTGTTAAAGATTTACTAAATTAAACTACATATCATTTTCTTATCAAATCTTACCTAACCACAATCATTTAGGAGGTAAAATTCTGTTGTATGTCTGTGACAAAAAATTTTTTTTAAATTTATTCGGTATATTCATGCACTGTTTGTATAGCAATCCGCTTTGTTTATCCTGATCATTGCAGCTACAGTTGAAGCCGATGGTGTTGTTGATGTTGGTCAGGGCATAGTGGATATACAGCGTGACGGAAAAAGCGTAACGCTTTAACAAATTTTACTGCCCAATTTTCCTTTTAAAATTAATATTCATTTTATTGCAGGTAATAAGAGGAATAGAAGAGTTTTATTCTACAAATGACATAAATTATGGCGTAGTTTCTGAAAGTTTGGCAGCTTTCTTATTTTTTAATGGAATAACTTTGAAATATGTTGCTGCTATGATAGCTGAAAAAAAGGTAAGAGCTGTAGTGAGTATCATAAAACACCATAAGATTGTATTTTTAATTTAATTCATGAGTACCGCCAATACTGTATACTGTGTACCTTTTATAATAAAAGTAGAATTCAATGTAAAATATTTTTCATACAAGTTTTCATGCTTTTCTGAAATCCAAAATAAACTTATGATTGATAAATAAATAAATAAATTTACATAGTTATTAAAACACTTGTAATTAAAACTGTCCATCTATAACGAATGCCCATTTAAATAACGAAAAAAATCTTTATTTCAAGGTACGTGGGACATGAAAATGATTTTTTTTTATTTTGATAAAAATGGAGTGTGTCATACTTTAAGTACATATTCACATCAAAGCTTTAGACCATTCCTATATCTAGTGCAAAAGATATTTGAGTCCGTTGGGAAAAATTAACGGATTTTAGTGATAAACTAATACTGTAATTAAATGTTTCTGAAGTATTTCATTAATATCTTAGAAGAATACTATGTTTTGTAATCAAAATATTTGCAATTAAAATTAAAAAAAATAAGTTGCAACTGTAATTTTAATTGTATACATAAAAACAGTTGGTAGTAAAAACCATACAAATCCAAGTAAAGTCGAGTCATTGTGGAGGAAATAGAAAAATACTAATAATCAATGTCAAATAATAAAAAATGTGTTTTTTTTAAATTAATTAATTTTTTTTTTTTTTATAAAAAACACAGAGAAATAATAGAAGCTAATAATATGAATTGATTATTAGTATCGATATACATACATGTGTCTGTAAAGCAGTACATAGCCAATTTCGTTTATTTAACCACATTAGTTTTTTTTTTTTTTTACATCATTTACTTGTTTTTTTGGTTTCCCTTGTGTCACTTATAGTCGTGACTACAATATGCCATATTAAATCTTCGATTTTGAGTTTTAAATCTGTATACTCAAGAAAAAATAATTCTACGAGCCATTAATTCTAATTAAGTAACTATTTTGCTATGGAGTTTTAGAACAGTATTTAAAATATAACTTATTAACTAATTTCAAACATAACAACGATACACATTTTTTAAAATATTTTTTTTAAACAAAAAAACCTAGCGAAGATTAATGACATTGTGATTCAGATATTTATTTTTACAGTAAAAAGACACATAGCTATCGAATCCACGGAGCAAAAATACCAAAAAAATTTATCACTGTTTATGCATTCTCAAAAAAGTATCAGGTGTACGAAGATGGTTTATAAAAAACTTTTTGTTTAAAAATGAGCCAAAAAGTCAGAAAATTTTTTTTCATAATTGTTTTAAAATTTGTTAAAAAAAAAATTGACCATCTGGGTCGCAACCTACCTTTGGAAATTGTGTTCAGCATAAAAAATTACATTTTAGAAAACGTTGGTAAGCCCGCCCTAATGGGCTGGGCTGGGCTTGTTTCTAGCATCAGGTGGCGCTAGTGTTCCCAGGTAAGATTTCCATAGGAGTATACCTATACATTGGATGAAATCCATTCAATGTACATCAAATGTATAGGTGCACTCCTATGGAAATCTTACCTAGGAACACTAGCGCCACCTGATGCTAGAAACAAGCCCAGGTAAGATTTCAATAGGAGTATACCTATATATTGGATGAAATCCATTCAATGTATAGGTATACTCCTATGGAAATCTTACCTAGGAACACTAGCGCCACCTGATGCTAGAAACAAGCCCATTGAAAAGGCCACAGGATCCAACCTGGCGCCTAGACTAATTGCACAGTAAGCATTACACCATGCAGACAAGGAACTAACCACAAGAAAATGGGACGTAAGGAAAAAACCACAAAGGTATTTGCCAAAAAGTGTCGGGGTAGGAGCCCTTCAGACAGAAGGCAAGCACTCTATACCACTTAGCTACTGAGTGCTCTTCAATATCATCAATGTCATAAGTCTTCAAATAGGTAGAAAAAACCATAAACAGAAAATAAAAATATAAAGGTCAACAACAAGTATCAGCTTAAGAACTATACTGAACAATAAAGTAAGGACCATTTTTCATATATATTTGTTACAAAAAGATTAAGGAATTAAAATTTCACGGTTTGCAAATTAAGCCATGGTTGCCAATTAATGCTCAAGCTACCCTCCTAGTGAAAGAAACCCGAGGAGTTGTGTGTTCATATCCCGTTAAAACATCGAGATTTTTTTCTCAAGATTTTTCGATGAGATGAGTACTCAAGACGCCGAAAAACTATTTAATCATTTTTAAGATGTATTCGCTCTGTGCACATTGCAGCGAAATTTGGACCTCTTATACCCAAATCCCATTTAAAATACGTGTATTCATTCTATACCAGCGCCCAACCCTTATCATTGGGATGTTTTGACCTCCAGGGGCTTTCTCATTAAGGGAAGCCAACGCCTTACTAGCTCCTCGATACACTCAGTAACAGTTTTAAAAAGGTCGGTACGGCGAGTTCCGTCATTAGATAGTTCATGTAAGATCAGTCCAATAAACCTGGTAATGGCAGGAGTGTGAATGAGACGATTACTGTTCCCTTTAAATAGTAAGTGTCCAGTAGGATAGATGACCGAGTCATTTGAAGGAAACTTCGCAAAAGGCCAGCACAAAAGATCCGCACATACTTGGAGAAAGAGGAATCTATTATTATTGACAGTCACTTTCGTACTAAGTACAGCACTATTTTTGTTGCTGGTCAACTATTTTTCAACTTGCTCGTACCAAAACAGCACAATGTATTACTCGATTGTTGCTCGGTCTTCATCCAATTCTATGTTTAAAGTCTCAATAAATGTCGAAAATGATATAAGATGACACTATATGACACTATACTAAATGTATAAACTTCAATGCTCATTACATAATTTTTTTTGACCATCACATATTGAGTCTGACATTTAAAGTACCTTAACTACTAAGATTTTGTAACACTAGTGTTCTCGTTATTTCTATACGATTTAATTTGTAATTGTCGATCTATTTACATAAAGTATAACTTTAATTTGTGGACTAACATTTAAAGCAAGCACATACAATAAAAAGGAAGTAAATGTGCTAGGCCACGCCGCGGTGATCACTGGGATCATCCGTGGGTGCTATTCTTTCCTTCGAATTGGTGGGTCGCGCGATGGATAGCACGGGAAGAAGTAAGCTTTGCTCCTTGTCGGATGGAAGCCACGTTTTGTTTGTTAGTGAGTCATTTCGTTCTTTTGTGGTCAACTTGGTTGCCATGACAATATTCGATTATTTAAAATAGATCATCAAGCGATTCTCGGGATTTCTTTCTCCAAAAGTCTGACGAGTACTTAAGGGTGCCTGTACATGGAAGACCTGCTGTTTGGAAACTTCTGTTTGGTTAAATGTGGTCACGTGATGAACCTCTCTCTCTCACTCTCATGAGACCAGAGAGTTTTGACGGGAAGTGACGGGAAGTTGCCAAACAGCAGGTCTTCCATGTACAGACACCCTAACTCTGTAATATTGAAGATAAACTCTTAACCTGTATTCTGAATATATTTGATAAAATAGTCATTCTCATTTGTTCGGTTTGTTTTAATCTGTAACAAGTATAGTATCCCTTAAGCAGGACTATTCTTATTTCTAACCACTACTTACTATTTATTCATAGCATATTATAAATTATTTACCTAGTTAGTTTTAATTACTCTGCTTATGTATACTTTTATAGTTTCAATACCTTTACGAAGAAATAACAAAGGATTGGCAAGCCAACGTTGAAGATGATAACGAAATAGCCATCCAGCACGATTGGGCCACTAAAGGATATAAAATAACGATGGTTATATACTGTGAGAAACATTTTATTTCCAGTCAATACGTAAATAATAATTTCAAATAAATTCTAATAAATATTAACCTATTGAAAAAATTTTCGTAGATGATACTCATAAGCTTAGAAAAAAAATTGAACTGTTGCAATAAGATAATTTTTGATATTGATTTGTAATGAAAGATTGGGTGCTTAACGCTTAAGGTTTAAACTCTAATAAGCAACACATTCATCAAGAGAATATCACTTAACTTAAGATAGTTCGTTTCATTATCAAATAGAGAAATTCCATATTACTCACATCATAATGGTCAGATTAACTAATTACAAAGAAATTGGATCACACAAATATATTTGGAGTAAATAGTAGAACAAATACTTTTTATTGTAATAAAAATAGTGAAAATGTATTTTTTTTATTAGTATGGATATAGTCAAACTTTACACATTGAACCGTGGTTGTTTGGCGTCTTACATTTTTACTAGCTTATTTAAATCTATAAATTCCTTTTTATTACTTTTTATTTCTCAAATCTTCTCTAGTTTTCCAATGTCATGATGCATCAGTTGCTACCTTTACTGGCAGATACCTTAGTTATTTACGTAACAAGTGCGGGAAATCGTTCCGCACGAGTTGCGTACAAGTTTTTTCGCAATAAGTGTGCGGAAAATAGGTGTTTTCCGCACTGACATTAGTATGGAAAATCGATTTTTCTGTCCTCGAATGGTTTTGGAAGGCCGGTACTTCCTCGGGCAAAAAAGCAGTTTTCCGATACTCGTTCGAAAAGTCTCCTTTACGAACCTCGTTACGTCCCTCGCCTTTGGCTCGGGCCGCAAACAAAGACTTTTCAAACTCGTAGGAAAATTACTATTTCCACACAGTGTGTGGAAAAGGTTTTTGTCGCACACCTTTTCCGCATACTGTACGGAAAAACCTTTGCCACACACCTTTTCCGCACACTATATGGGAAAATCGATTTTCCACACTAATATCAGTGCGGAAAACACTTATTTTCAGCACACTATTGCGAAATAGTAGTTTTCCTACGAGTTTGAAAAGTCTTTGTTTGTGAACCGAGAGGTTTGCGGTCCGAGCCGAAGGCGAGGTCCGTAACGAGGTTCGTTAAGGAGACTTTTCGAACGAGTATCGGAAAACTGCTTTTTTCCCGAGAAAGTACCAGCCCAAACCACCCGAGGGCGGAAAAACAATTTTAAGTTACGATGGCATCCTCATTGATTTTTTAGATTAGAAATTAATTTTTTTTAAGTGTTTCAAAATTAAAAATTGATGTATATCTGTAAAAAATGAATGAAAAAAACTGTAAAGTAATTACTGCTTGAATAAAAATGTTTAACAGCTGATTGGTTTATAATGTAGCAATTGTCTACCCTAGAATTATTATTTTTTTAAAATTATTTTAACCATAAATCATTTGCAATAGAGAATATTTAGTGTACTCATAACAGTAGTATTTTTTCTAGGGTTATTACCAATAAACGCCGTATTGTTTTGCACAATGCCTGCAGTAGTCCCAAATCTTTTAAATATTATTTTACCTGGAGATACTATCTACAACAAGACTCGAATTGTTGAAGTGGAATATTTCATAATTTCTGAAGAACAGTATTGGTTCCTGTTTACTCATTGTTTGTTGTCACTTTTGGCCGTTATGAACATCTTAACAGCTATAGATGGAACTTACGTAAATTGTATTCACCATGTTATTGGACTTATTAGAATTACATGGTAAGTACGTCAGTTTGAGATGCTACATTTTTACGCTTTTTCTCAAAAAATTGTTTAAATGGGAGTATTAAAATTCTTTCTTTTGAATAATTTGTTTCAATCGTTTGTAAACATTATATGATTAAATAACATTATTAACCATTTAATGAATCCCATACGATTATCGTTACTATTTTTTGATCACCAATAATGAATAACGTATTGTAATTTAAGTTATAGATTAACCAATACTGTAAAAAATATGAATGATTCACTAAAAGGTATGACTCATGAATCAGAAAGCTATTATTATAATCAAATCGTTGACGTTATAAAACTACATCAGAAATGCATTAGGTAAGATATTATCAAGCAATCGGAAAATACTAACTCTTGAAAATGTATGATAAATTCGTGATTGTTAATCTATTGCTTTAGATTCGCTAATTTCATCGAAATTGCGTACAGTAAAATTTTCTTTGCAGTCACCGTATTTTATTTAATTGGATTTGGTACATATGCTATAAATGTTAGTAAAGTTTAAATGTCATGCAAATTCCTAACCGTATTGTTTTATAAGATTTTAATGTTTTTACAGCTAGTGTTCAGTTTACACCAACCACTTCTGTTTATAAAATTTATGGTAGGATTTATTGGTGCTGCATTCTACATGTTTTTTTATTTCTGGCCAGGACAGAAATTACTTGATAGTAGTGATGAACTGTTCAATTCAATGTAAGTTGTAACGCCAATTTTTTTTGGTGATTTTCTTTCCCCATGTGTTTCACAATCACTTTTTCATCTAACTACTTTTTTTCAAAGAATAGAACATTTATTTTTTTGAGATACTAATAAGTATTGACTATCTTAGAGTGCAGCAGTAAATTTTACTTTAAAACAATTCATGCCCGTTAGTTATATTAATTTACTATTGCTAACTAATGCATCTTTTAAAAAACTTCGTGCATTAATATTGGTAGTATAAACAAGTAGCTGAAACAAAATACTTCTATAAAAAACAAACTGGAAAAAATTCCAAAAAAAATTAATTAACAATTACGCACTAAAACTCTCCGGTAATAGAAACTTATCAAACCCAGAAAACCACTACATAATAGAAAAAAGAAAATAATTAATGAAACAATATCACAGGCTAGGACGGCACCACGAACTTCGGATATTATATTATCAGATTGAACATATATATTGAGGATATTATATTATAACAGAGATAGCAATCGAATTTTTCCCTATTTTTCAGGGGGCGTTTGGGTAATAGATTACGGGGCAGCGGGAGTGTGGTAGATAGTGTGAAAAACCCCGCTTTAACATCTATATACAAAACAAAAATATATATGCATAGGAGTTATACGTTGTAAATCATAAATAGAATGAATTTTCTTTCATTATTTAATGGTAAATGTATTCAAAGCAAAGTAAATTAATCTATATTTCACAAAAAAATGTTTGTGTGGGCAGCGGTGGTAGCATTGGGGGGGGGGGGACAAGAGGGTAAAGCACCGTTGAGTACGGTGTAGTAAATTTTTTCAATAAAAATGGTAAAATTTCTTATAAAAATAAGTTTATTTACGGTTTTAAAAGAATTTGAACTCTTAAATTTTGTTCATAAGTACAATTGTTTAGTCATAAAAGCAAGTTAGAAAAAAAAGTTTTTGTCACAATCGATTACACTCCAGTGGTTGTGATAGTGCTTAGAGTCGATAATAGTGACGGGTTGAAAAATACATCAATTAAAATCACTGAAAGGAAAAATTGCCATATGCATACCCCGTCGCAACTGTAACCAGGAAATTTGTCATAACCGCACCCAACGTACTCTTTCACAATAGAAAAATCGCTACAAAAGTACCAAAAAATGTATGTACAAATGTCCTCTACTAATTAACTACTCATACTGATATTATAACCGGAAATTCACCCATTTTTGTACCTATACATGGCATTATAAAAAAATATAAGACATGATCAAAACAAAAACTGAAATTATTTAGTCTTGTTTTATGATGACCGAAAGTTTATTTTTTATAAAATTTCTTATACAGCTATTATAATAAATAAATTAAAAATTTTTAGTATGATACTTCAAAATTTTTTTTTTAACATTATAATCAATTAATATATTTCATTATTTTCCAGATGTCAATGTCAGTGGTATAAGCTTACAACGAAACTTAAATTCCTGATAAGTTTCATGATGCTACGATCTACTGTACCGTTTCGTTTAACAGCTGGACCAATGATTGAAATGAATTTTAGAAACGTCTTTCTTGTAAAATTATTTTTTTATAGTTTTGCATAGAATCAACACGTTTAGTTTTTCAGCAAAAATATATATACTTTTTTCAAATGGATAAATTTTTTTGTGAAAAAGTGAATCATGTATTATTATACTAAGCGTGTTGATGTTGTCTAAAAATTCAATTCCTTATTCATAATGAAGATATTATTTAAGGTATTTAAGACCACAGCTTCTTACTTCACAGTTATGGTCTCATTAAATAAGGATAATTAATAAATCCTAAAATCAGTAGAAAAAACATAAAAATTTCTAAAATAGAATCACACAACACAACAGTAAAAAGGTAAATAATTCATTTTATTTTTTTTTTAATTAAAAATAAAAAGAAACAAAAGCAAGTCAGTAAACAAGCATTTACTTTTCAGCCATGATAAGAATCTAAAAAATCACGTTCACTCGACGTATGATTTTATTTCATCACAAAACTTTCTCTATAAAAAATCAAAAATAAAAAGTTTTAAAACTGAGTAATGTAGAAAACTTTCATAAACTATCGTATTTATTGTTGTATTAAGCATTAAATTATTTAACCTTCCAAGATATATAACTATGAACCACTGCACAATATTGCTTACACTTCATAACACAATTTTTAAAAGAATAATATTGGATAATCTAGTTTAAGTCTATTGTGTTTTGTACCACATTACATATTTGAAAAAAATAATGATCTTAAATAATTCAACTCTCTTTCCATCATTATGTTATATTCTGAAAAGAAATTACTGTAGCTACCGTAGAATTTTAAGTTTTTTATATGTACGAGAATTCCTTAGATATGACTTGATAAAGGCAACTTAAAATCATATCTAAAAGTCCTAAAAAGTATATTGGTCATAATTTAATGGAATGTATCTGAAAGTGTTTGCCAATTTTTACTATAATTTATTGAACTAATTTCATGATACCAAACTCTGAGAAAGTAAACATTTATCCCGAATTCTACAGAATAAGATTATTTTGTACAAACTATATTCTCAAGATTAGATGCAAATGACAATTTCATTGGGTAAATGAATACTTACGTGATTCACAACAGCGGTCGGGGTTTAGTCCATTGCTCACAGAATTTTTTAACTGAGAATTTCTCAGTCAAGGCATTGATTATGTTTCTTAATAATTTTCCCAGAAATATGAGAAAAACAATTTTGATCACATACAGGTGGGTTCATTTATTTATTTAATAGTCCATAAAAAAATTCTAATTTTTGAATTACATAAAAAAATGCTCTTTTTTAAGTTTATTCTTAGGCATGACTGCTTTACAGAAGTGCCTTATATTTTTACCAGAGCAAAAAATGTAACCACCAATTATATGAAGGTACGTAAATCAACTATCTTTAAAACTTAATATCAGGTTTGGCTTCAATTTGGTTTATAGCGAGTGAAATTGATTTTTTGCATGTAACTTTTTACTTAAGTGTTTTAGAAAATTAAAAATCACTCGATATGAGATATTTTACAGCAGTTTTTACACTTTTAAGTTTCGTATGATTTATTAAACTCCATATTTTAGAAGCATAGTACCATAACTTACAGACCAAATGTAGGTGAATCACCAAAAAAATGTGTACTGAGCAAAAATTTCAGGTTTTGAAGGATATAATTAGGTGCGTTCAAAAATTAATGTTCGTTACCTTGATCATTTGTTTCAAAAATGTGTCGTAAACAAAAGGTTGTAAAAATAAAAGAACACACGATTTATAACCAGTAAAAAATATTTTTGCAATTATGGAACGAACGATCCAGATGATGAGCGAAGATTGTCAAACGCACCCATTTTATATTAATGAATTGTGGGCGAGAATTGTGATCAAATTTTACAATATCTATTAATTTTTTTCCACGATTCTCATTTATAGTATTTATTTTCTTGGCAATAACTTTTAAAATATTTTATCAGAAATTCATGTCTTTAGCCATTTTATTATAGCGTTTTCCTGAAGAGACTGTTAAGACTTGAATTGAAGCTTATCATTTAAAAAAGCGAATTTTTGAACGATTATACTTTCTGGTCCCCCAATAGCATACACATAAAGTTTTATAGAAAAATACCTTTATCTAAGACTAATACAGTTTTAAAAGATCTATTTCATACCTTGTGACATCGCTGGTTATGCTTGATCTAAATTTTCGGGCACAAATTTTAACTGCCTTTAAGGTTCCAGTGTTACAGATGATTACAAAATCCTCCTGGAGTAACAAGATTTTTCATCGGTTTCTATTTTGTGAACTTTCAAGTAGGTTCAAGTGTGAGTGCATGTCACTCCCTTTTACCTTCATCTCTGCGTCTGATTTAATCTGACTTTGAAGTTGATATTGTGTCTCGTGTCCAGGGCACTGTAAAAACATTAAGGCGACAATTATAGAACGATACATGATCCAGAAGCTTGACATAATTAATAATAATCAACTACATAGAATTGATGGTTTGAAAAAGAAATTACTCGCTCCAATGATCTAAAAAAAAATGGTTCTCCTGAAAGTTAAGGGTAACTCCAGAATCTAAGATAAATTAGTTCCTGGCAGACAAGAAATTCAGCAAAGTAGGTAAAAAAAAAAAAAAATAAATAAATTTTGACAGTTACTTAAAAAACAATCCTTAATTATCAAAAGCCTCTTCACAGTTATAACTTATTTAAAATAAAAAACTGCATTTATCCTTGCTCGTCTAGAACCCGTGAGGTAGTAAAATTTTTTTATAACTAGTGTAATTTTTAACCTGTTGAGAAATTGACGACTCTATAGATGCTGGGGACTGGTGACTTTTGTCAATGAGACTGTTCGAGCTGTTGCAAGCAGCTTTAGAGGATATGCACCGAAGGAGGACTTGTGCAACACAGAATCTGGATAACAGAAAGTTCTTGCTTTCTCTAATACCCTCGTGATTGGCTGACACCCTCCCATGTATGTGTTATATATGCTGCTGTAGAGGGAAGTAGTACACACACACACACACACACATATATATATGTAATTTAAATCTCGCGCTAACCCCGTACTCAAGCTTTTCCCACCACACCATACCCGAGTAGCTGAATGGATAGCGTCTGCAATTACTGCACCAGCTACATATCGGATATCAGTTGGATGTATATTGTTGGAGACATTCAAATGGGTTCTAATTAATAGTATTTTTATTTCTTTATCTTTTCACATTGTATATTTTTAAATTATTTTTTACTATATGACGTGTTTCGTATAATCCCATTATTTTTCTGAGGTTTATAATTGCCGATAAATATATTTATACTTTATAATTCAACTTGTACACTGCACTACCACAACAATCAAAGTTTTAATCACTTTTTTTAAAACTGTTTAACCTCTACAGATGAGTGAAATCTTGACAATCTCTAATAAATTAGAATTCAAGTGTTAGGATAGGAGTAAATGATTAAATTATTTTCAAATTAAACGGCTTATCTCAAACAATTACTATGTAATAAGGAAAAATCAATAACGGCAATCAAATAAAGTTTTATATTTAATTGTTTATTTCAAACAATACAACAGAGTATGTTTTATGGATAGCTTTTAATTTAAATCTCAATTTTTTTAAGTGGATTAACTAATGATTGTAATATTATTACCCTTAAGTAGAATAATTGTAAGTATTGTTAAATTATTTTGTTATTTTTATGTCTTATAAAGAACCATTTTTCAAAAAAACCTGCTGAATGGACATTGTAATCCATCTAATCCAATTTCACAACTAATAAAAAATATACGATCACGTGACAATCAATCTTAGAAAAAGGTAAGATAAAAAAATTTAATAGCATTACTTTAAATTATTTTTATATCGTCAACTCATTTCATTTTAGTTATCTTTACAGTTTAATGCAATTGTTTTTTGTAAAAATCAGCTAAACAAACCGCTTGCTTAAAGTAATAATGTAACAAATGATAAAGCTTCAATCACCTGATAATTAATCTTTTAAGTTAGATAAAAGTAAAGTCCCTTACTGAAAGGAAATTCTTGAAATATTTTTTTTCGTGACGATGGTATTATTTTTGAACAAACCAGTTGCGGCTTATCACGATATGTGATACGTTGCACAAGTTAATTTTTTTTTTTTTTTTGTTATTTTTAAAGATCGAAATTAAGATCAATACTACCAATTTTTCGTTCACTTTATACGAACTATTAAGGAAACTATTAGGATTTTCGATGAATCTTATATTGCCATAGAGCTCCATAAGTAGACAATGCTTGTACCGTTTCAAGTACGACACGCTTTAGAGGAGCAAAAGACGAGAGAAAAGATACATGCATTGAAAATTAAATGTGAAAGTTGTAAAAGTCTTACGTAATATTTTATGAGACAGTACAAACATTTATTCATCATTCAACATACGTATTTTTCTTTTCACTTCTAAGCTGTTGTCACATAAAATTATACAAACGTCTAAAAAAAGTGTTACGTTACATTTCTTTCAAATAATGATTTAAGATGTGATTGTGAGTGTTAAATGCAAGACCAAACAACGATCCTGCCTTTTAGAAAACATTTTAGAATTTTATATTAACTTCAGCTCTATACGTATATTCAATTATATGAAGGTACGTAAATCAACTATCTTTAAAACTTAATATCAGGTTTGGCTTCAATTTGGTTTATAGCGAGTGAAATTGATTTTTTGCATGTAACTTTTTACTTAAGTGTTTTAGAAAATTAAAAATCACTCGATATGAGATATTTTACAGCAGTTTTTACACTTTTAAGTTTCGTATGATTTATTAAACTCCATATTTTAGAAGCATAGTACCATAACTTACAGACCAAATGTAGGTGAATCACCAAAAAAATGTGTACTGAGCAAAAATTTCAGGTTTTGAAGGATATAATTAGGTGCGTTCAAAAATTAATGTTCGTTACCTTGATCATTTGTTTCAAAAATGTGTCGTAAACAAAAGGTTGTAAAAATAAAAGAACACACGATTTATAACCAGTAAAAAATATTTTTGCAATTATGGAACGAACGATCCAGATGAT